CGCCGTCAGGGTCGCGCTGCTGGAGCCCGGGGCTCTACTGCTGGAGGTACTTCTGCTGCCGTCCCTGGAGCTAGGAGTGGTGCTGGTACTGTTTCTACTGGAGGTGCTGGAGTCGCTGGTCCCGGAGGTGCTCGTACTGGAGGTACTGGAGCTGCTGGGGCTGAGGGTGCTGCGTCTGGAGGTGCTGCTGCTGGAGACACCGAGGCTGGAGACCCTGGGACTGGAGGTGCTGGTTCTGGGGGTGCTGCTGCTGGAGACGTGGAGGCTGGAGACCCTGGGACTGGAGGTGCTGGTTCTGGGGGTGCTGCTGCTGGAGACGTGGAGGCTGGAGACCCTGGGACTGGAGGTACTGGTTCAGGGGGTGCTGCTGCTGGAGGCAACTGGGGTTGGAGACCCTGGGCTGGGGGTGTCGGTTCTGCTGCTGGAGCTGCTGGAGCTGCCGGTACTGGTGCAGCTGCGCCGCCACGACTGTTCTTCGCTCCGCCGTCTCCGTCGTCTCTGCCGCTGCCTGACTCTGTTCTTCGTCAGGTTCTTACTCTCCCGTCGTCTACTGGTCTTCCGTTACAGCCTGGCTCACCGCTGCCTGCTCCTTCTCCTTACACTGAGCAAACATGTAGTCTTGCTGAGCGTCGTGAGCCTGCGTCGCGTCCTGTCTCGCCTGTTCGTCCTAGTCGTACCGGTCGTCGTGTTCCGCGTCCGCGTTCGCCGCCTGTCCCCACCGCACACCTTGTCGTCCGTCGTCCTTCCTCTGTTCCGCAGTCTGTTCCTCTGCCGTCTCCTCCTGCGTCTTCCTTGCCTGTCGTTCCGGACCCTGAGTCTGACCGGTTTCGTGCTGAGCACCCTACTGTCACGCGTCTGCTCGCCACTGTTGTCACTGACCCCTCGTTTGAGTCTGCTGCTGCGTCTGCCCTGGTCGCTGAGCTTGTTGACTTTGCTGCTGCCTGTCGTCTAGACTACGCTGCTAGTCTTGTTGCTGAGTCTGAGTCTGTCTGTCCTCCGTCCGTCGGGGGTGAGTGTGCCCTTAGCACGGACGTCCTTGAGGACAGGCACGAGGACCTTGAGTGTCTTGCAGCCGCTGCGCCTCATCTCGTGACCATGCTGCTTGCCCCTGAGGGAGACCCGGATGCACTAGACATCCCCACCCCGCGCTCGTACGCTGAGGCGGTCGCGGGTCCCTACTCCTCTCAGTGGCAGGCAGCCATGGACGCAGAGATGGCATCCTGGAAGTCCACAGGCACCTACGTCGACGACGTTCCCCCTCCTGGGGCGAACATCGTCAGTGGCATGTGGATTTTCAGGGTGAAGCGGCCGCCTGGTTCTCCGCCTGTCTTCAAGGCACGTTACGTTGCTCGAGGCTTCAGTCAGCGAGAGGGGGTTGACTTCTTCCAGACCTTCTCCCCCACCCCGAAGATGACCACTCTTCGGGTACTGCTGCACGTTGCCGCCCAGCGTGACTACGAGCTTCACTCGCTTGACTTCAGCACAGCTTTCTTGTAGGGCAGCCTGCACGAGGAGATCTGGCTGCGCCGCCCACCTGGCTTCACTGGGTCGTTCCCTCCTGGTACCCAGTGGAGCCTCCGCCGGCCAGTCTACGGTCTCCATCAGGCGCCTCGTGAGTGGCACGACACACTGAGGACTACGCTTGCGGCTCTTGGGTTTGCGCCCTCCACAGCTGACCCGTCACTGTTTCTGCGCACCGACACCTCGCTGCCGCCGTTCTACATCCTCGTGTACGTCGACGACTTGGTCTTTGCCACTGCTGACACTGAGGCTCTCGCCCTGGTGAAGTCGGAGCTGCAGAAGAGACACACGTGCACAGACCTGGGTGAGCTGCGCAGCTACCTCGGCTTGCAGATCACCCGGGACAGAGCACGTCGCACCATCACTCTGACTTAGTCACACATGGTGCAGCAGGTCCTTCAGCGCTTCGGCTTCACCTGGTCCTCGGCACAGTCCACTCCTCTGGCTACAGGTCACTCGCTCTCAGCTCCACCTTCGGACGAGTCCGTAGAGCCGAGTGGTCCTTACCCAGAGCTAGTAGGCTGCCTCATGTACCTGATGACTTGCACTCGTCCTGACCTTGCGTACCCTCTTGGCCTTTTGGCTCGCTATGTGGCTCCTGGTCGGCACCGAAAGGTGCACTGGGATGCTGCGAAGAGGGTACTGCGCTACTTGTGCAGTACATCGGGCATGGGGCTCGTGCTTGGTGGACGGCGAGAGGTTGTCCTCACTGGGCACTCAGACGCTTCTTGGGTTGACGACCAGGCTACGCAGCGGTCGTCACAGGGTTACACTTTCAGCCTTGGCTCTGGTTCTGTTTCCTGGCGTTCTACTCGCTCGTCTTCTGTTCTCAGCTCCAGTTGTGAGGCTGAGATCTACGCCACAGCCATGGCTGCTCAGGAGTTGCGCTGGCTCACCTACCTGCTGACCGACTTGGGAGAGCGGCCTCGTTCTCCTCCAGTTCTGTACGTCGACAACAAGGCTGCCATTGCCTTGTGTGAGGAGCACAGACTGGAGCACAGAACGAAGCACATCGCTCTGCGTTACTTCCTGGCTCGAGAGTTGCAGCAGCGTGGTCAGCTTCGTCTTGCACACGTGGCCACTCGGGCCAACACTGCTGATATATTCACCAAGGCACTTCCGTCTGGTGATCATCAGCGCTTTTGTACCTTGTTGGGCCTTGTGCCTACGTTTCCACACTTGCTGTAGACTCTGTCTGTACTGTGATCTTTATATATATATACCTGCATGCTTGCTCTTGCTAGGTAGTGATCACTGTACTTTGTTTGTTGCATATATACCTCTGCATGTGGACTGGCCTTGTGGCCCTTTGCTTGTGCTCAGTCTGTGTGGTGACGTTGTGATCCACCCTGAGCTTGGTTTGTTTCTCTTGACTGGTCTTGTGACCCCTTGTTCTCCCCCACTTTGCCTATGGGGGTGTGTCAAACTATGCATATTGTGTTTGTGTAGGCTGCTAGTGGGGTAGCCCATATGGGGTACAACCCAATGTTAGGGTTAGCTTATGTACCCAACTCTTGATCAATGCATTCATTCTTGTCTCTAGATTCTAACACTAACTGCTTCCGCTGCTGTTCTTCATCTCACGCGCCTCGGGCGAAAATTTTTAGCGTTTTTTTCATCCCGCCGTGTGCCCCGGGGCGCCCGGCGGTTTCCTACATGGCCCCCCCCCCCCCCCCCCCCCCCCCCCCCCCCCCCCCCCCCCCCGTCGGCCCTCGGCCTCGTCACCTCAGGGGACCCGCGCGCGCCCCTCATCGGCGCTCGCTCTGCCCTGTGGGACTCGCGCGCCACCCCCGTCGACCCTCGCGTCGCCCCCGGGGCCCCGCGCGCCACCCCTGGAGCCGTGCGCGACCCCCCCGCTGCCCCGTCACGGCGCCCTAAGGAGCCGCGCGCGGCCCCTCGCTGCCCCGTGGTGGCGCCCTGGGGGCCGCGCGCCGTCCCCCTCGCCGTCCCCCGCGCTCCTGCCCCGTGCCACCCGTTTTAGGGTTTGGGGGTGAGGAGTGTGGGGGTGGCGGTTGTGGGGGTGCCGGTTGTGTGCACCGTTCCCTACTCCTCCTCCTCCTCCGTCTCCCGCTGCTGCAGCTGCCGCTCACGGGGGCGGGTGTGTGGGAGCCTGGGGTTTAGGGTTTAAGGGGGGTGCCGTGGGAGTGGAGCTAGGGGTGCAGCAGGGGGTGTGTGTGAAAGGGGGGTGGGACAGTTGGGGGAAGTTGCGTGGAGGCCGCCGTCGTGTCGTTCGCAGCGCCTGTAGTCCGGAGCCGTCGTGCTCTCGGTAGCCCAGAGAGCCTTGCTGTGCCAGTCACCCGTGGGTCCGTTGTTTCTGCCGCGCCGCAGAGCCTGTTACTCCCGTAGTCCGGTGCCCTCGTGCGCTCGGTAGCCACTGTGCCAGTCCTCCTGTTGCCCGTGTGTCTGCAGCTTCAGCCGTCGCCTCCCATCTTCTCGCCCCCACAGTCTCTCCTCCTCCTCACTTGCCCTCTGTGATAGCCTCTAGCTTTGCTTGCTTATTGTGCTGATTACACCCCACTTTGGCTATGGGGATGTGTCAGAATGTTATTATCTAGCCTGTAGTGGGGTGCTCTATAGCGAGTACAACCCAGCTAGGGATTGAGAAAGCTTGCTTTCTGTTCTTGCAAGGCATCGTGCTTCATTACAATTGGGCATCGTGCTTCATTAAAATTGCAGTAATTACAACATTCTCGTCCAATCGATAAATTATACAAGTACCATATTTGACTGGGGTGGGTGGGTGGGGAGTGGAACTGCAAGTTCGAAATGAAGACGTGGGTGGAGGCCAAATGGCCTCCAACCCTCGTTATGTACTCGGCGAATTGTAATTCGCCGTTGCCTTGCTGCGATACAGTTCGTTGCGCTTTCACAATACGCATTTTTAGAAAGTGTTACACACTTTCAAAAAAATTCATATTGAGAAAGCTTGCTTTTTGTTCTTGCAAGGCATCGTGCTTCATTACAATTGGGTCTTCTGAGACATGTGCACTTGGGGACATTGAGGACTGGTTGAGAGCGGTTGCGACCGACGAAGTTGTCGAAGTGCAGAGAGAGGTGGCGTTGCGATGGAGGCACCAACTTGGTGCCATATTGAAGAGATACGGACCGTTGTGTGTGTCAAGTTGCTTGTTCCCTCGACATGGGCGTCCCTAGTGGTGGTTGGCGTTGTTGATTCTTGAAAAAAAAGAAGGTATTTGTGACAATATTTATAGCAATATACATGATGCAATCCATATGATACACATTCACAACAATGTTCCGCAGGTTAGCTTCCCCCCCTTGAAGAACGGCCCTCTGGCCAGCACGGGACCCTCGATCCCCCTTCCCACCTTGGGGAACGGCCCTCTGGCCAGCACAGGACCCTTGGTCCCCTTCCCCCCTTTGGGAACGGCCCTCTGGCCAGCACGGGACCCTCGGTCCCCTTCCCCCTTGGGGAACGGCCCTCTGGCCAGCGCGGGACCCTCGGTCCCCTTCCCCCCTTAAGGAACGGCCCTCTGGCCAGCACGGGACCCTCGGTCCCCTTCCCCCCTTGGGGAACGGCCCTCTGGCCAGCACGGGACCCTCGGTCCCCTTCCCCCCTTGGGGAACGGCCCTCTGGCCAGCACGGGACCCTCGGTCCCCTTCCCCCCTTGGGGAACGGCCCTCTGGCCAGCACGGGACCCTCGGTCCCCTTCCCCCCTTGGGGAACGGCCCTCTGGCCAGCACGGGACCCTCGGTCCCCTTCCCCCCTTGGGGAACGGCCCTCTGGCCAGCACGGGACCCTCGGTCCCCTTCCCCCCTTGGGGAACGGCCCTCTGGCCAGCACGGGACCCTCGGTCCCTTTCCCCACTTGGGGAACGGCCCTCTGGCCAGCACGGGACCCTCGGTCCCCTTCCCCCCTTGGGGAACGGCCCTCTGGCCAGCACGGGACCCTCGGTCCCCTTCCCCCCTTGGGGACCGGCCCTCTGGCCAGCACGGGACCCTCGGTCCCCTTCCCCCCTTGGGGAATGGCCCTCTGGCCAGCACGGGACCCTCGGTCCCCTTCCCCCCTTGGGGAACGACCTTCTTGTCAGCACGTGACCCTCGATCCACTTTCTCATGTGAAGGACCCTGCGCGGGTGCACCAAGCGTTGATATAGCCGTCGTTGCCCCAGATTGTTGTGCTTAGCCACCTGCCAAATAAATTATGCCTTGCACCAGGAAGATTTGAAGACAGAGAAATTATTAAATCAAGAAGTTATCGGATGAACGGTAAGAGAAACAAATTGCAACACGAACCAAGTTAGCTTGAAATAATAAAAGGAGCTAGCTGCGTGGCAATGCTGGTATCGAACCAGTTAGTGAAGTATCGCCAGCAGGTCTCTGGCGATTGCGTCAGTCCCGCCACTGACGATTGCGTCAGTTGCGCCACTGGCGATTGCGTCAGTCTCGCCAGTCTCGCCCCTGGCGATTGCGTCAGCAGCGCCCCTGGCGATTGCGTCAGTCGCGCCCCTGACAGTTGCGTCAGTCGCTCGCGCCCTGGCGATTGCGTCAGTCGCGCACCTGACGATGTTGTCGTCGGTGCGCCAGGGGCGAGTTCGCCTTAGGCTCGCTAGTGATGGGTTCGCCCTGGGTTGCGCGCTCAAATTGATGCGGGTTTGGCGCCGATTTCTTGTCCGCGAGTGTAGTCGCAACTCTCGCGGTCGACGTGAAATCGTGTGTCCTAAATGTAATAAATAACAAAACCTCTTATCAGAAATTAGTGCCTACTATGCGAGGTTCTAGTGACAATAGAATCGAGAGAGAGAAGGGTCACCAGGGTATTTGGACAAGAATGGAGTGGAACTGCAAGTTCGAAATGAAGACGTGGGTGTAGGCCAAATGGCCTCCAACCCTCATTATGCACTCGGCGAATTGTAATTCGCCGTTGCCTTGCTGCTATACAGTTCGTTGCGCTTTCACAATACGCATTTTTAGAAAGTGTTACACACTTTCAAAAAATTTCATTTTGCTATATGTACCCCAACTGCTGCTAGTGAACTCCTTTCTTCATTCTTGTTTCTTACTGCTAATTCTGACAAGTCATGCCAACAGGACGGAAGGTGGCTTGAAATGCCAGGGCAAGCCATGAGCAAACGGCAGACAAGAGGGTTACCCCTGTCCCATGCTTACACCAACATGGGCTTCCCATTCCAACCCACTTCTGTACCTTGAGAAAAAACATCACCCACTTCCCTCTTACAATCTCCCACCTTGGTAAAATCAGCCACCACCCTCACCCACTCATCCACCTTCGAGGTTCCAGACAGCGAATCTTTCCTCCCGCCACCCACCCAGGCATTTCAGCCCTTATGAGGTGCCTCAAAAGTCATTTCAGCCCCCATCCAACTGATGCACTCACCACTCACCCACCACAAGCGTTTCAGCGTTTTTTTTTTCTTCTTCTTCTTCCCCCCATTCGGCCCCATTTTCACACTTCCAATCCCTTGAGGGAATTCAACCCCCACCTCTTCCTCCCGCTCTCCCACTCACCCACCCACTTAAGGAGTTTCAACCCCCACAAGCAAAGCTTGCTCTGCTCAAAGGGGTGGTTTCGCTTGCTTCGCAAGCAAAGCACCAAAGGCAATGCATGTTCCGACGTGAGAAGAAGAAGCTTTGTTTCCCTCCCTCACACTCACGCACCCACATTAGGGATTCCAGCCCCCATTCTCCCACTCACTCATCCACCTTAGGGGTTTCAGCCGAAATCCCTCTCTCCCTTTCGCCCACCCATCCTTGTGGTTTCAGTCCCCATCCATCTCTCCCACCCAGCCACTCACCTTTGGGTTTCAGCCTCCATTTGTCACCCACAATTATGGTTTCAACTCCCCCCTCCCTCTCCCACTCACACACCCACCTCACAGGTTTCAACCCCCATCCCCATCTCCCATTCACCTGTCAAATGTTGTAGCCTATAGTGAGGTTTGTCTTAGGGGGTACAAAACTTAGGGTTAGCTATATGTACCCCAACCAACATCAATGCATCATTCATTCCTCATTCTGACATGGTATCAGTTAGGTTAGGATCCTGTGGGATCCCGTTTCTCCGTTCTCCGATCGTACCACCCGAGCCTGATCCTAGCTCTCGTTTCGCCCGTCTTGCCCGAGCCTAGTGCCGGCCCGATCTAGTCCCGTTCGTTCGTTACCGCTCGTTCTTCCTCCCGATCTAGCGTAGCCCGATCTAGCGTACCGCTGCCGGTCGCGCTGCGCTTTCCCCCCCTGATGCCCGTCGAGGCGCGCTTCCCCCCCGCTGCCGTCGAACCGCGCTTCCCCCCCCCCCCCGCTGCCCGTCGACCCGCGCTTCCCCCCGCTGCCCGTCGACCCGCGCTTCCCCCCGCTGCCCGTCGACCCGCGCTTCCCCCCGCTGCCCGTCGACCCGCGCTTCCCCCCGCTGCCCGTCGACCCGCGCTTCCCCCCGCTGCCCGTCGACCCGCGCTTCCCCCCGCTGCCCGTCGACCCGCGCTTCCCCCCGCTGCCCGTCGACCCGCGCTTCCCCCCGCTGCCCGTCGACCCGCGCTTCCCCCCGCTGCCCGTCGACCCGCGCTTCCCCCCGCTGCCCGTCGACCCGCGCTTCCCCCCGCTGCCTGTCGACCCGCGTTTCCCCCTGCTGCCCGTCGATCCGTCGCCCTGGCCCGCGCCCCAGCCCGTCTCCCCAGCTCGCGCCCTAGCCCGTCGCCCTGGCTCGCGCCCTAGCCCGTCGCCCAGGCCCGGCGCCTTTGCCCTACCCGCGCGCCCGCCACACCTGACCTACCCGCCCGCTCTTGCCCGCTCTTCCTGCCCGTTCTCCCTTGCCGCTGCGCCCTGCTTTCCCTGCCAATTCCGTTTGCACACTATGGCGACCCCTCGCGTCCTTCGTTTCGATGCTGACGGTCGCCCGCTCGATTTCCCAGTCTGGCTTCTTCGCGCTCGCCGCCTGTTAGAGAGTCAGGTCCAGGCAGGCGAGACCCTCTGGGCGCACGCTACTGGTGCCCTACCTGCGCCCCCCGACCCTACGCCTTTAGGACCTGCCCCTGACGACGCCGCTAGAGCCCGCTTTGCCACTCAGCGAGCTGACCAGACGGCTTGGACGTCACGTGACGCTGCGGCCTGCATCGCGCTCAGCAGCCTCCTCCCTGAGTCTGAGGAGGTTCACTTCACTCAGGTTCGCACCGCTGCTGCGTACCTCACTGCGATTAAGGCCCGCTACTCTACTCCCGCTACTGTCTCTCTTGGCCGCCTGTTCCTCCCGTTCCTGTTTCCTGACCTAGCGTCTTTTGAGCGCTCTGCTGACTTGATCGCTCACCTCCGCTCGCTCGACGCTAGTTACCGCGCTGCTTGCACTGAGGCACAGCTTGCACTGCTTCCTCCCCCTATGGCGATTACTATCTATTTCATCGCCACTAGCCTCCCTGACCGCCTTGCCTCCGTTCGCGACGCGCTTCTGCTGAAGCACCCTAGTGAGCTCACCGTCGAGGTTCTTGAGTCTGCACTCAAGGACGTCGAGAGCAACCTTCGCTCGGTAGCCGCTGCCTCTGGTGCTGTGCCCCCCCCACTCTTCCACGGGTGCACAGTCCCGCAGTTACCCACCTTTACTGCCTCACTTGCCACTGCCGCTACTGACGCGACTGCAGCTGCTGTTACGACTGCGTCGCGGTCCCGCGGTAGGAGTGGCAAGAAAGGCGGTTCTGGTGGTGGTAGTGGAGGTGGAGGCGGAGGTAGTGGAGGTGGCGTTGCGCCTGGCGGCGGTGGAGGTTCAGGGCCTGGAGAGGCGCCTCGTGCAGTGACTGGTGACTCCACTGCGCCTGCTGGTGGTGGCGACGCCCGAGTTCGTCAGTCGCCTCCTGTACTTCCTGCCCCGGTTGGTGGAGCAGCGGCGTGGTACCAGGCTCAGCGTCAGCAGCAGCTTCTGCAGCACCAGCAGCCCCTCTCCTCCCAGCAGCCTCAGCAGCAGCAGCGGCAGCAGCTGGCTCCAGGGTCGGGGCTGCGTCAGACCCAGCGCGGTGCTGCTTACACTCCCTGCACCTACCAGGTTCTGACAGGCCCTCGTCGTGGCCACCCTTGTGGCCGGTTTCCACCCCCTGGTCAGTGCTTTGCTCAGCTCACTGACACGGTTCGTTTGGTCTACGGGGTTGGTGCTCCTGCCCCTGACTGGCTGCCTCTTGTTCAGCGCTACGGCTCCGCTCTGTGGGGCATGTCTGCTGAGCAGTTAGTTGATCTCATTGGTACTCCCCATGCTATGTATGCTGTTGTTGACTCTAGTGTTTCTGACTCTGCTTACTCTGGTGTTGTTAGCTTAGGTGCTAGCCTTGCTCAGTTGCCTGTTGCTAGTGTAGGTTCTTGTGTAGACTCTAGTCCAGCGGCTACCTCAGAGGACGGTTCGCTGTCGTTCACGCTGGACTCTGGAGCTTCTCACTGCTTCTTTCGTGACAGCACGACACTTACGCCTCTTCCTGCGCCTGTTTCTGTGGCGCTGGCTGATCCCACTTCGGGACCAGTCACCGCGCGTCACACTACCACCTTGCCGTGTCCGGCTGCTCCTTCTGGGTCTCTCACTGGGTTTCACGTCCCCTCGTTCTCCCGGAACTTGGTGGGCGTGCGACCCCTCGTGAGTCAGCACGTGGGTGTGTGGTTTGAGCCTTCTGGAGAGACTGCGGTGTGTGTTGACGGGGACTCTTACCAGCCCCTCGCCACTTTTGCTGCTGAGCCGGGCTCCGGTCTCTACACTCTTCACACTCGCCCGCGCGCTCAGCAGCGACTGCAGCAGCAGCAGCAGCCGCAGCAGCAGCAGCAGCAGCAGCAGCAGCAGCAGCAGCAGCAGCGGCAGCAGCCGCAGCCGCAGCCACAGCCGCCCCTCCTGCCCCCGGCCCCTGTTTTGCCTCCCGTTCGAGTCCTCGCGTCTCACCAGGTTGCTCCGTCCCCCCAGGTAGCTGTGTCTTGTCAGGTTCCTCCGTCTAGTCCGGTCGCTGCGTCGTGCTCCTGTCGGTCGCTTGCCCACCCCACCGTTTTGTGGCACCACCGGCTGGGGCACCCTTCTCCTCCTCGTCTTCGCGCTATGTCTCGTCAGCGTCTTGTCTTAGGTCTCCCGCGTGTCTTGCCGTCGCTG